GAAATTTCCTTCTTCTGCTTCTTCTTCGAAGCAGCTGGTAAATTCCCTCCAGCATTGGGGTCTTCCCCAGTAGTGTTTGTTTTTCTTTTCTTTGGAGTGCTTGGCGGGAGTTTGTTAGTCTGAAAAGATTTAAACAATAAGTTAGATGCAAATCATGAAACATTAGTGTATTCGAAACATCAAGGCTAATTGATTACCTATGGAGTTGGAGCACTGGTTATTACTGGTGTTGTTGTTGTTGTTGTTGCAGCAGTTGTTGTTGGTTTGGATAGAGTCACATTATCAATGGTTTCGACAGATGCCTGAGGGGCGCTTCCCTCTTTTGACTTTGAAGCAGCAGTCTTTATCCTGGTGGCTGAAAATCGAAACAATTAAGGCAAAAGTTAAAAATGTAGAAAGTGAGAAACATTTGGATTTTCCCAAGCATTCGCACCTGCGCCTTGATCAGATTTAATCGACATGGCAGAAAGGTCATAGCGAAGATGTCCTGGGAAATCGTGGAGCCAATGTCGAGCCCATGTCACAGTCTCAGATGGCTTTGGTTTCTTTTGAAGATATTTGAACATTTCTTTGCAAGTGAACCACCAAGGGTATGGAGGAAACCAAGCCAGAGCCAGTTCTGAGGTAGGTAATCTAGGAAATTTAGGTGGATGCATTTCGAATGCCAACCTATACCTATCCTCAAGTGACAACCCTGAAGGAAGTTTTAACTTAGAAATTTTTTCTTTGAATTTTTCCTTCAAGGTCTCAGCCGCTTGATGCACAGTGGATTCCAAGTGTGTGGGATCATAAGTAGTTTCGAAATAATTTTGAAAAGCCTTAATCTCTTTGGAATGAGTGAACATACCTTTCTTGGATTGTACCTGCACATCGAATGCATCAGTTAGTTTCTGCTGAATAGTAAGAGTATCGAACATATAAGTCTGATAGAACTTTGTCCACCATTCCAGAAAACCCTTTGTTGTGAGGTGTGTAGGTTCGAAAGATATTAGTTCAAAGTGGGCAAAGCCTTGGTATTGTTCCTGTTGAAGTTTGGCTTCTCTTGCCTTGAAGGTTCGCCCAGAGGTGATGGCACTTTCTGTTTGGAATAGGGGCTCAGGGATTAGTTGGCACAAGCCAAATTGTCTCGAAACGAAGTTGGGTTAATAAGCAAAAAGGAAGATTTGATTCTTAGCAGGAGTAATTCGTGAGGAGATTAGTCTGGGAAGCAAAAAGGCTTTCCATACATCTTGGATTTCTTTGCTTTTGATTGCTTCTGAGAGAGCCATGGTGAACCATGAGGGTCCATGAGTCCTTGAAGCAAAAGGCGCCATGGTCTCTTCGAGTTTATGCCTCTTGGAGAAAATCATGATATATTTTGAGAAGAGAACTTTGAAGTCATCCTTATCATCGTTTGGGGTAAGTCTTTGCAGCCTAGTGACTTCGATGATTCTATCCGCTATTTTCTGGGTCTTGTTCAGCAATAGTGTTGGCAGTTGATAGTGAAGGTTCGAACATGGCATTAAGCCATAACTGGAGTAACCAGAAAGGGCCAGCTAGCAGGATGTTTTTTGAGGTGTGGGATTTCAAGCTCGAAACAGCTGACCTTAGACTTTCGTAAAGGTCAACGAGTAGTAGTTCGCTTAAACACACCCTCTGATTCTCATGCAAATCTCTAGCTAGAGGAATAAACCTACTGGCTACCTGTAGGGACCTGCTGCAAAAGACATACCTTGATAACCATAAGGTAAGGAAAGCAATGTGTTCCACATCTGACACACTGTCTCCTTCAGTGTGATAGTGGCTAATGAACTTTGAAAAGCTGGCTAGCTTGACTTCAAAGTCAATAATACTCGAATGCTCTTCATTGTCAGGAATGTAGGTTTCTCCTATTGGTGATAACCCAGTAATGGCTGCTATGTCAAAAAAGGTGGGTGTAATCATTCCACCAGGGAGATGGAAGGTATTGTAAGTACTGTCCCAGAAGTATAAGGACGCGAATAATAATGGGTGGCTATAGGTAAAACCTGGTTTCGATAGTTTAATCAAGTTGTAAATACCTAATTCTTCCCATTGCTGGGATTTCTTAGCTTCTACTTTAGTAAACCAGTTGTGATAAGCTGTGTCAGAGGTGGGGCAAGATCGAAATGGTTTGAAGTTACTCTTCACATAATCTAGCACAAAAGGGTCCTTAGGGGGAATGATTGGATTTTCCACGGTGGTCGAATCGGAAGACTCTACTGTCTTAGGGGTATCCATTTTATTAAACAGAGGTTTAAAATTATAACAAACAGGGAAAATTTTTCTGGTGTCTTTTAAGATTTCAAAGACTGTAAGAGGGCCCATTAAAGCTAACCTCTTGCCAGCGGCGTTAGTAGGAATTAGTACTTGGGATGCGTAGAGCATTTCCTTCTCTTTTGAGATAATCTGAGGAATAAGAGCAGATTGACCTTGGTAGGTGCCAACCTTGCTTTCCATTATGGTTCCTGTGTTCTTTCCTTTCTTTTTGGAAGCTTTTTTCAGTTGAGATGAAGTTGAAGAAGACATTGTTTGAAGAGTGTTGGAAGTTTTTAGGGTTTCGGTGAGAAGAGAGGAAGAAAAGATTCAGAATGTGGGAAGAAAAAACAAAAGACTAAGTTGATGGGTTTTTATAGTGTGGAAGTTTAAACATCCACTGAGTAAGATTGTGATACGTGGTAATCATGGGTTGGTTTGAGAAGGAGGTGGCGTAAAGTTAATATTGGTAATAGGCGTGATTTAATAAATAATCATTGTTGTGTAACTGCACCATGCTGTGAAACGGTTCAAGACGGTTAAGGAATCTGAAAAGCGTTGTGATTGACATGACTGGAGTCATATGCAATAAATGTTACGATGATTCAAATGTCGCATCAAAATCTTGCGTATATGTTTAAAATAGGTATTTCTCAAAGGAATCGAAATACATATTCTAAAGGGGCATTTTGTTGGCTGAAGATTTTGATGATATTGTTCGAAGCGAAACAAATTGGATGTTTCGATTGGAATACAACAAGATGTCATGTTTCGAAATGGTAGAAGCAGTGCTTCGAATGGGCATGTCAATATTCTGAGCTTCGAGTGACAGTTATGGGAATATATTCAAAGAAGTCTCGAAGTGGTAACAAGGCTGTGTCCAAGAAATGAGTTCGAAACGAAGAGTGCCAAAACATTTGAAATTCAAACGCAAGCGGGATGTTCGAAATTTAAAATATATGCGCTGGAGCATTCGAAGACGCGTGGAAGCGAGAGAGGGGCATTGCTTTGCATGTTCTGAACGTGGCAGAATCTTATAGCAAGACCGTTATGATCGAAGTAGTATAAATAGAAGTCTTAGCATTAGGATTTCGTGTGTCATATCTATTGTACAAAAAACTCAGTAAACATTCAAAATATCACATGGCTAGAGAAACGAATGCACGAGCAATGTACGTATGATAACACCAAGTGTTTATGATTCAATAAAACTCTTTATCATTTCCAGTATTTTCCTCTATCTTCATGTCAATATCATTCAAAAGCCTTTGCATTAAAATATTTTCATTCGAAGTCTTTTTACTGATGCCTTACATTTAAATGTTTTCTTTCCATTTCAAATACTTTACATTTCAGAAACTTTTGTATATTTCATGCCTTTATCTTCATGCTTTTATCATTCGAACTACCTTTTTCATTCAAAGTCATTTTATTGATTTCTTGCATTAAAACGCTTTCTTCATATTTCGAATCTTTTACATTCCAGAGAATCTTTTACATTACATGTTTTTATGCTTCGAAGTCATTTACTTGTCTTTTCTGCAGTTTTATATGTCTTTACAATTGAACTTTATTCATGCAATTTAGTTTCGCGCGCATTTACTTGATCATGTTATTAGATCTTTAATAGAGTAATCGGAGTAAGTTAAACACCTACACAACATTCTAAATACCAACCATGAATATCAGTTCTATAATGAGAATTATCCAAATGACCAATACATCCTAGGATCAATCTAGTCGATCCTGCAAGTTACCAGAGAGATTAAATAACAGTCATTAAGATTATTTGATAGTTTGGAGGACTAGCGGTTGTTTACCAGAAATCACTGTAAACAGAAGGCAAAAGTTATTTTCTTACAACTCATCTGTAATCTCTTGTAACAACTTTTTGAGTATAGTGAATTGAAGAGTTGTTCTCTTCCCTAGAGTAGATCGTTTGATCAAATTGGATAAACAAACCTTCGTTTTTTCTCGCATTATTCTGTTATATTATATGTGAACGGATTATTATTGTAAATCATTTATTTTGATTGTTGTTATTCTTTGTCTCACAAATTGATATAGCATCTTGTCGTAATTAACAACAAGATTCACAATATATTTTGCTCCTGTCAAATTGGTGATTTTTGAAAACTCCCTTTATAAAAAAAAAATTAAATTTCCTCCTTGCAATTTATAAATTTTTGTCTTTCCTCCCTCAAAAATTTTACCCATCAATGACCTTTAAAATGTTTTTGTATGTGGATTGTGAATTTTGGAATGCTAATAAGAAATGATGTCAAATTTTATACTTAATTTATTGTTGATCTATCAATGAAATAGTGAAATTTGATGCCATCGAAACTATAATATGTCCATGTTAGAGAAGAAGCACTCAACAACGAAGTTTATTTTCTTGAATACCATTATTATTTATACATGACTTCTCATTACAAAAAGATTATATTATTATGAATGATACATGGTTTGTTCTGTCAATTATTCGACGAATTTATTTAGACAAATCAGTTTTATGAATATATAAATTTAAAAAGAGACAAAGTACTAATAAAACGATGATATTTGATATATTACAAATCAGAGCACACATTCACCACGTTGATTCAAATCAAACTCTTCAACACGTATAGAAAAATACATAACCACAAGAGATTTAAGATTATCTATACCTCTTTTATTTAGCACAATAATTATTGATTCATGAAACTTATTACTTTGAATGTGCATCATGTACCATGGTATTATCAGTTACCATTGTCGGAAGAAACACCGTGTCCACCATGATAACCGCCGTGCCCATGACCATGACGGTGACCGTGACGGTGACGGTGATGGTGTCGATGAAAACCAAGAAATTTGGCATCATTAAGTTCATTTGACTTTTCAACAACCTCTGCAAATACAACAAATCCACAAATATGTGAATTTCAATCTTAAATTTATTTTACAAAATGATATATATGGTGTGCTCTATAGCTAGCTCACCTTCAGTAAACTCCCTAGCTGAGACCTCTGAGGAAATAAGAAGAACCATTGCCAAGAGGCCAAGAATGAGAATTGTTCTTTTGGAATCCATTGTACTCAGATCAATTGAAATGTGATATTTGGTAGTGAAGGATGAAAATAATAGTAAGAAAGTGTTCTCTATATATAATGGAAGTACGTAGGAGTAGAAATCTATTCAACATCTTTACATTGTAGTGGAGATTGTAGCTTGTCTGTATTAATCAATCTTATCTTTTAGGATTTGTAAAGATAAGAAAACAGTCTTCTTTTGTCTTCTTGTTATTAGCACAAAATGGCATTTTACTTTCAATCGACCACATATATTCAAATCACCTTATAAAAAATAATTATATAACATTTTTGGCTAACAATTTATAATAATTTTAGATGAAAGTATTTATCTTTTTTTTAAAATATACCTTATTTAATTTTCATGATAGTAAAAAATATATGAGCATAATTTTAGTTACTAAAATATGTTTTATTAAGGTGAATGTTAGATCCTGGTTTTATAATTCACCACTAAAAAAAAAAATCTAACGTCGAATGCGAAATACATTTGATCTTGATTACCGAATCAAAATAACAAAAAGCGATATGAAAAATTATAATTTTACACTTCGGTTATTGAATAATCGAGAGAAAAAATGGCACGAATCATAGATTCGATTCCCAATAATTAATTTTTTTCATTTTCAAAACTGTACTATTTTTTATATCGGTTTTTAATAATAATCGTGTGGTAAAATTCTATTTATAAAAAAATTGATCTATTTTTTTAGTTTTTATTTGCAAAGCATCAAATTTGTTGACCGATTCTAAATCTTCTTCATCGACAACAACACAACAAAAACAAAATCATTAGAATCTTTAAATATTAAATATCAATAACAAAAACGAACAACAACAAAATTTATAAATTTTTTAAATATTAAATCTCGACAACAACAATAAATAAATAAAATAAATAGAATTATTAAATACTAAATTTCAATAATATTAATAAAACTACAACAACAATATTAATTATTTTACTTGATATAACTAAAACAAACATTAATAAGTTATTTTCATGCTTTTTTAACTAGAGAAAAGATTAAACATTAGGAAACTAACATTGGAATATTTTCCTGCTCTTTCTTGCATTGTCATTGTTTTCAATATGTTAAGTTTAAATTTTAACACTTTATATCTAAGATAAATAATTGTGACATTCATGTTTTGATTAACTAATGAGAATTTTACGTGGATCACTGATATTTCATGTGAACTGATGAGTTGTCAATATATTGATCATTATTACTTTTAAATAGACGTCAAAGATTCATTATTTATTTATTTTTATTAATGAATCATAAATAAATAAATAAAAATAAAAATAAAAAACACGCTACTTTAGTCCTCGATTTTCAATTTCAACAAAACCGAGATAATAATTTCTGATTTTTTTAAATGAAAGTTGAGGTTAACATTGATTCTTCAATAATGATACAAATAATTGATGAGATGTTCTGATATGATAGAGTTAGACAATTATTAATTAAATTTGAATGTTAATAGAAAATTTTGAAGAGGTGATTGTTTATCATTTCCTACCAAGAGAAAACTACATATGCGGATATGTTTGCTACCGTTGGTGGTGGGATTAGACCCGACATAATTTATTTTAATGTAGCTCTTGATTGTTTAGCGATTCTGCTTGATGAGAATACTATAGGTGTTTTCATCTCTAAATTAGTGTGTTGGTAGTTCTTTTTATTTTTGCATTTCGATCTTCATTGTTATAAAAATATTATTTAACTCTAAATAAATAAAGTATTTCGTTCCAATATAACACTGTCAAGAATTAAAATACATGCCGTATTCCATTGAGAGATATATGTCACACTATTACACAAACAATTGACTTCCTATTTAAGACTAAATATAATAGTCTCTTTTAAGTATAAAAACAGGTTTTTTATTTTTCCCAAATGGTTTTCTATTTTTTCACAGGATGGATCCACGTGATCCTTTTTTATAATTAAACATGGCTTCTTTTGAATAATTATCGAACTCGATCTAGCAAAGATTGATAATGTTCTGCTAAAGTTTTTTTTTTTTTTTTGGACCAATCTACTTCTTTTGCTAAAGTTACTTGCATGCATTTGGAACTTTCCGACTCTTCCGTACCCCACTTGCGAATTTCACCACAAAAACATGTCGGCACAAACATTGATTAAGTAAAAGCAATGTCGGCAAAAAAAAAGATAAATAAATTTTGTTAGTAAAACTGTACAAATATTTTTAAACTAAAACTATAAATATATAAAATTAATTATACTTTAAGTACACATTTATTATCATTGATAAAAACTTTGATAATAGAAGGTTAATATTTATATTATTAATTATATGTACTACTAAGAAAACATAAATATTAAAAAGTATTTCATTAATATTTTTTTAAATATAGTTAACTTACATATTTAATCACAAAATTATTAAAATCATAAGAGATAAATATTTATTTTTAATACTAAAATAATACAGATCCTTATATAAATAATTTTTAATCTAAATGGAATTGCGTATAAGCAGGGGCGGATCCGGTCATTATATATTGGTGTGGCTAAGTATAAAAGAAAGTATGAACTAAAGAGAACAATGAAACCATTTAAAAAATTTATTCATACTATAAAGAGAACGGTAAAATCAATTTATTATAAAGAAAATCATTTATGAAAAATTGAGCAAATTGATTTTTTTAACAAATTGTGATTTTATGGTTTAGCTAAAAAAGGAGAAAAGAATAAGAGAAAATTGAAATACTCCCTTTATCTTTGATTTTCAATCACCATAATGAAATGCAACTAAGCCAAGTAAAAAAATTAGAAAAAGAAAAAGAAAGATTAACAAATATGAGAGAAAGAGACAAGCATGAGAGATGGTGAGGTTTGAGATAACTAGAAAAAGAAATTACAACTTGAGAGAGAGAAAAGTAGTGTTTTAAAACTGGACTGAATTGAGAATCAGAGGTGTCACCAATCTAGTTTGATTGCTAGACCGACCAAGCTATTGAATTGGTGTAAACTAGCCAGAACCGCCAAAATCTGTAAAAACTGAAGATCCGACAATTTTCAAACATCGGTGGATTAATTGCTACTTTAATCATTTTTTAAGAAAAATTTAAATTAAAATATTTGTATACTTTGTTCATAACTTATTTGGATCAATTTTCTCTCTTTAGAACTAAATATATTAGACACGTTATTTTGCTATTAATTTTATGTTGCAATTTAACTTTGTTCAAATTTTATTTGAACATTTTGTTATGTGTGATGAATATATATTTAGAACTTGAATTTAAATAAAGAACTTGTGAAATTATGACATTTTAAAATTTTATAAGTTTCGTGATATTTTTTAGAGACCGGGTCATTCAGTTCGATTGGTTTAATATCTATAAAAAATTTATAGAGACTCGTTTATTTAACCGAGTTATCTGTATTAATTCAGTTTAGTCATACTAGTCACACAGTTCAATCAGTGACTCAATGATTCGACCAATAAATCATTGATTCAATATCCTTACCATTTTGATAACTGATCCGATTTTTAAAACATTTGAGAAAACTGAAAGAAAGAGTTACGAGAGAAAAGTGAGTTAGTAATATTTTTTTATTAATTATTTTAATAAGCCTTAGTGTTTATATATAATTAAAAAAATTAATTATCCTAGTTATAAACCTCAATGTATGATATAATATAAAAAGAAAATGAAAAAACTGGTGTGGCTATAGCCACATCTAGCCCCAACGTGAATCCGCCCATGCGTATAAGATGTCACATTAAGATTTTTAATATTTTTTATTTAGTATGAAATTTTAATTAAAACATATAAATATGAACTAATAATAGTAATAATTGAAAAAAAAGATTTTTTTTAACAATAATTATGTTTTGAAAAAAATTATACAAGAAACCATGTTTCGAAGAAAATTCGCAAATAATCATGTTTCAGAAATAATATAATGCATTAGCAATCTTAGAAGGCGCATATATTGCGTTTATTAAAGGAGACACTAAGTGAGATGCCGCCTAGGTGCTTGTCATTTGTCCTAAGCCATCTTAAATGGCGCCTAGGTACAAAGTTTTTTTTTGTTAAAGAATTAAAAGGCAATGTCGTTGCAAATGAAAATTGATTTTCAATAATAATTAAACGATTACATAATGAGAATAAAAAATACTATTATTTAGTTGTCTCCAGGGACTCAATAATGACTCGTAGTTCCGCACCCGCGTCCTCGCCTAACACGTGGTGCGCTTTGACGTATTTCCTGTTGCAGTTGAGTCGAGGCCCCTGCGAAGTCAATGCATTCAGGATCCATGAAAGTCGTCAGATCATCATATCTGGAAGATCCGCTTTCAAACAGTTTGTTACTCATGCCCTAAAAGTTTGGTCATATTGGTTGAGGGTGAGGTTCCATGGGGGGTCGATAGCACTGGTCGTCTGAATAAGGGGGGTAAAAAGAAAATGAACCTTGTGGGGTTTGATACTGTGATTGTGTTTACCAGTGATTTCTGACAAACAACCGCTAGTCTTCCAAACTCTACGCTTTGGTAACTTACAGGATCGACTAGATTGATCCTAGGACATGTTTCTTAGTGTTTTTACAATCTGACTCGAAGTTTGGCATTATATGAATAATAACAAGATCTTTCTATGTGATTATGATTATCCTAAGATATTAAAGTTTGACTATAAATTTTAAATGTAACTTAAATGAAATGATGTGGATATTTGCAAGAATGTAAAGACAAATCTAATAAGGAGAGTTCAACAAAATTTGTTAAAGACTTGACTGGAAACGAAAAAGAATAAGAAAGTGATTAAAGTAACTTTGTATGGAGAAAATGACTACATAAATTGATGGTGTTCTTACACATAAATTATCAGCAAAATCTTTTCTCTCGCTCCGATACTTTGAGTATTAAATTATTTGTATATAATGTGAACACACTTGAATCCTAACATCTAATACTCCTATTTATACTGATTCGACCCTAACAGTCTTTCTATGAGATCAC